TAATTGCACAAAACAAGCACAAAATACTCAACGTGCAAGTATAACCCAATTTGCATAATCACAAACAAAAGCAGAAATGTTAACACTAAAACAAAATGATGCTTTTACCGGTTTGTCTCATTGTTTAGGAACCGCAACAAATGTTTCTCTCGCCAAGCATTTGGGTCTCCACTGATGGCAACATTAATGTCTCAATCCTTCAACGCCCAAACCTAACCTGAAGAACAACAAACCTCCCTTCGACCCACCTTACTCCGCCGCACACCGCTATCAACATCAGAAACCCATCGAAACCGTTAAACACCGAAAACATCGCTCCGTTAACATCAAAACAGAACCGGACCTAAAACCCTCTTTTAACCCTAACTTCAACATCTGAAAATCTTCAACACAGAATCCACATTCCATCTCTCACCATTAACAGAACCACACACAAAACGCCGGAAAACTCCTTCAAAACCTCCATCGGAACCCCTTCCAGAAACCTTCACCTCCGACCGTTAATCCATCCCTCACTTCAAACTGGCTTCAAACCCATTTCATCCGTAAATCCAACTTCAAAACACCCCCAAAACCAGAACCAAAAGTGGAAGAGAGATTCAAAGTGAAACAACCGAACACCCAATCATAAACCCTAACCCCTCTTTCAGTAATCCAAATCTCCATTCCTTCCGCCGTAAACCTCAAACTTCAATCGATTTCCATCATCAAAACCAAACCGTTCAGAATAATAATCATCAACAAACGTAAACCAGATTCAGAAATAGAATAAGAGGAGATGGAGAGAGTTTGAAAGAGAGAGCCAGTGAAACGAGATTGAGAGAGGGAAATCCGAGTAATGATACGAAGAAGAAGGCTCTTGGCTTCTATTGTTTTTCTTTGCTGATTTATTTTTACTTTTTATTTCTTTATTTCATTGACTACTATTGGACTTGGACTATTTTAATAGCGCTTTTTATAAAAGCGTTATCTTAAAACACAATGATAGAAACGATAGTGGTTTCTTAGAAAATAATATTCTCTGTACTTTTTAATAGCGCTTTACTATAAAACGCTATTATAAATATGTTTGTTTCCTTTTTAATAGCGCTTATTTTAAAAGCGCTATTAAAGTAGGCGATACAAAAAAGCAATTTTGGCGTAGTTTATAAACATCAATAATTTATATTAGTATGAAATATAAGTTAATATAAAAAATAGAAACATGTATACTTAAATAAAAATTTAAAACTTACGAATTTCCTTTGGGCCAAATAAAATATTTTCCTTCAATGATCTGAACCACTTCATCATTAGCAGCCTCTTCATCATTATCGCCTTCCTAATCATCCACCTCATGATCGTCCTCAACTGGTTTCTCATGATCATCCTCACACATAGGTATATGTGTGGATGGTAAGGGTACTTGTGTGGGTTGTGCGGTGTGGGATCCTCCAGACTGTGTGAATGATGAGGGTACATGTGGGGGAGTTGGAAAATTAGATCCCCCGGGCTGCATGAAGGATGAGGGAACCTGTTGATAGGGAGGTGGAAAGCTAGATCCCCCAGACTATGTGAAGGATAAGGGTACCTGCTGGTATAGATAATTAGGTCCCCAAGTCTGCTGATATGGATAGCTAAAGTCCCCAGATGAGCTAATAAAAGATGGTTCCCCATATGGGCTAATAAAAGTCGGTCCCTTAGATTGGCTAATAAAAGGTGGATTCCCATATAGGCTAATAAAAACTGGATACTTCTGAGGGGAGAGTAATGTCATGAAAGGCTAAGAACTGGCCATGGACATAGGATCTACCTGACTTTGCGGGGGAGGATACATGGCCGACTAAGGTGCCTGACATGCTACTACTCTCGGACGTTAGGACTTCTTACCCTTACCCTTATCAAATTGGGGTGGCATTTTACCTATTTATAATGAATACACATTTAATATATATATTCATGAATAACACAAATAATAAATCTTAAAAACCACAATCACATAGATATATATTCATTAACACATTCAATACAAGGTTTCATCAACTTAAATTACAAAAACAATTTATTCAAAATCTTCATACTCTTTATCTATATCATTATCATCATCTGATGTAATATTATCCTCGGATCAAAACTCTTCATGCTCGTCGTCCACTTCATTTTCATCCAACAATATAGACGCATCAACTTGATACCCCTCAACCATTGTAATCAGACAAACTTATAATCTGTTCAACTGCAATCACATCATTAATTTGTTCAACTTCATCAACTTGGTAAGCAACATCTTCCACTAGATTGCCAGTTTCAATATGACCCAATGGTTTTGTTTTGATTACAACAGATCACCCTCATTTACGTGGTACAATTTAAGGATAAGGAATATATCAAACTTATCTAACAATATGTGACATTATGAAAGGGTCATACTCTTTGTACCTTTGGTCCATTCGAATATCAACAGTACCATATGTCTTATTTATTTTTGTACCTCTGGCAGATGGATCGTACCAGTAACAATAAAATAAAACAACTTTATTTTCCAAGTCAAAGTAATTGTACACCAACTCGTAGATATGTTTACCAAATCCATAGAAGTCGCCCTCACCACCATCTGTAACTCCTTTTACAAATTCACCATTGTTTATGGTTTTTCCCCTTCAGTCCATGTATCAATGTGAAGTTTATATCAGTTCACGAAGTATGTGTGTCATTCATTTGCGCTTTAAATAAGGCCTTCAAATAAGTTTCTCAAATGGAGTATTTCTTGAGTCGGTGCAACAATGCATGACAATTTCTCCTTGAACCATGCTGGAAAATGAGCATGTATGTGACCAGAGGTTGCTTGTACACCGATGCTATGAAAGTAGGAGATGTTAAATTCCTTATAAAGAAACACATTATAAGTTTCAAGGTAATAAGTTTTATATTCATACTGTAAAGAATATTAAACAATTGAGATATACTTACTCAAGATATGGTTTAACTTTAACGTAGTTAATTAACACATGAACATGTGCAAATTGCATTTCTTTTTGGGTCAACCAATGCACACCCTTCTTTCCAGAGGGAAGACCAGGAAGCCCGAAGACTGATAAGGTACACTGACTTCTTTCGTTAATATTTACATAATTCCTTATGATTCTTGGAGTTAACATCAAGTGATTAAAATAGTGACTGCAAAAATGAGATGTTTCCCAATGCAAGTAATGCACACATATTGATCCTTCAACTTTAGCTTTATTTTTCACCGATCACTTTGAATCACCCATGAACCTTTCAAAGGGATACATCCACCTATATTGAACAGGGCCGCCAAGAAAAGCTTCATATGCAAGATGCACAGGTAGATGTTCCATAGAGTAAAAAAAAAACAGGCGGAAATACTTGTTCCAACTTTCAGAGAATGACTGGAATATTTCGGTCCAACTTAACGATGTCATCCACTCTAAAAGATGACGCACAAATATCTCTAAAAAATGGACTAATTTCAATTAGTGTATTAAGCACATGATTAGGTAGTGAACCAAACACAATTGGAAGCAATTAATCCATAAAAACATAGCAATCATGACTTTTTATACCATGCAACTTCCTAGTGTTAACATCGGCACACCTGGCCAAATTTGAAGCATAACCATCAAGAATTCTCAATTCTTTTAACCATCGACAAACCATTTTAGCTTCTTGGCAAGTTAGACTATAATTAGCCTTGGGTTTTAATAATTTTTCATTTAGTTGACGCTTCAACTCCAACTCTTTTCGGTTACACCAAATTTTCATGTTTTGTCTAGCCTTCTCATTGTCTTTAGTTTTGTCTTTAACATCCATCATTGTGTTAAATACATTATCAAAAAAATTCTTCTCAATATGCTTAACATCAAGATTATGGCGCAACAAATTATCTTTGCAATATGGAAGGTCCCAAAATATACATTTTTTTTGTCCAATTATGTGTGCCCATATCCTTGAATTCTACATGATTTACCAATACCTGTGAATTTTGGTAGCTCACAAACTTGGTTCCATACTTCACCCGGTGACAATAGAGGCGGAAGCAAATCTGTTACTCATTCATCTTTTTTCAAATCAGTCTTGTTCCTTCTATATGGATGATTTCTTGGTAGGAACCTACGGTGACAGTCAAACCACAAATGTTTCCCCCTTTTTCCAAGGTAAACGCCTTGGTGTTCCCCATACAATGCGGACATCCCATTTTGCCATGTGTACCTCATCCAGACAACATTCCATATGTTGGAAAGTCGTTAATAGTCCACATCAAGGCAACTCACATAGTAAAGTTCTATTTACTTGATATACCATATGTCCATTTTCCAATCCACAGCCTTTTCGAATCATCAACTAAAGGTTGTAAGTACACATCGATTCTGGCTTTCGGGCTCGACGGTCCTGGAATGAGGCAGGTCAAAAACATGTATGGTTTTGTCATGCACATCTCATGAGGGAGGTTGTAAGGGGTTACAGTAACTGGCCCACAAGAATATCCACTTCTAGACGCTTGGACATATAGAGTAAAACCATCAGAGCATAATCCAAGCCTCACATTTCTAGGTTCTGCGGTAAAATCAGTATGTATGCGATCAAAGTGCTTCCATGCCTCGCCATCATATGGATGTTGCATAGTATCTGAACTTATTTTGTTTGTATGATGCCATGTCATTTGACTTGCACTGTACATTGAAGCAAATATTCTTTTCAACCTTGATTTTATCAAAAGATAAAACATGGACTTCACTACTACACATTTTTTTCTTATCGTCAATGGCTTTACTACGAACTTTATATCTTGGACTCTTACAGAACTTACATTTCTCCAACGCTCCATCATTAGTACCAAACTCATTGTCATAAAATATCATGAAACCACTAATGCAACAAACAATCTTTCTTACTTCTAAACCCAACTTTGACACCAACCTCTTTGCATCATAAAAACTTGTAGGCAAGTTGTCTTTCGTAGGATTCGCATCAAGCATCATTTTTGCAAAGAATTCCAAACACTAATCATGAACATTCCATTTTGACTTGGCAGGCAATAATCTCACACACATTGATAAATTTGAGTCTGACGACCCCTCAAACAATGACGTATTCATCTCATTCAACAATTGATAAAATCTTTGCGCTTCCTCATTCAACAACTCTTCCCTATAAAAATTTACAGGTTTGTCATAGGTAGCGTTCACACCAAAAGCATCGTCCACCATCTCACTAATAAGATCAAAGTTTTCCCCATGTTCCATCGGTGATCGACTACTTGAAGCATGCATATTACTGGTCTCTGGTACGCTACTCGATAGTTATTCTCCATTATATGTCCAAACCTAATAATTTTCAATAAAACCCCTTCTCTTCAAATGACGTTCTACTTCCTCTAGGTCACTAATTATATGTCCAAACCTAATAAAAAATTTTAACAAAACGCCCGTGGGCAAAACCAGCCCCGCCCCGCCATTGGCCCATTTAAAAAGTGGGTTAGGTAGAGCGGATCAACTTAAGACACCGAGCTGAAAACCTCACTCCGACCCGTAAAAAACATTAGATTAAAAATGCGAGCCCGACATGTCTAACCGTTTTACCGCCCCTACACTTATTATTTTAATGTTAAAAACGTTAGTGATGTGGTAAACACGTTGCAATTGCCCAATGTTTGCCACATGTTTTTCACTTCACTAAATCACGTGGCAAGAGACAATATTTTTTGTAGTGGTCTTATGATATTTTGAAACTTAATGTCATTTTGTTTTAATGTATTTGGTTTAGTGTCATTAAATTCAAGATTCTACTGATATTAAATTTTGGTATGATAAATAACAACTTATGGTCGGATAAAATTTTATTAAATTTTGGATTTAGTCACTTTAATCAGAGTTTGATTATTATCTTGATCTGATCCCTTAATTAACTATAAGGTTTCAATTTAGTCCCTTAAAAAAACGGTTGAATCATTATTTTGACTTTTGTCACGCTGTCATGCCACATCATTACAATTTAACGTTTTTTCTCAATATTTAACAGAAAAGATTAATTTCGCAAACAAAATAGTTTTTAAAAGGACTAAAATGTAACGTTTATTAAATAAGGGATTAAAGTGAAATTTAAAATTAAATTAAAAAATCTTGAAATTAATTAAATTTTTTTTATATAAACATGTTATTATAATGGTGTGCTATTGAGATTTAGAAGAAATTGAAAGAAAAAAAACATTAAATAATAATAAATATAATATCAAAGAGAGAGTAAAAGAAAGGAGGGAGAATTAAAAAATAGGCGCCACTAGTATTTTAGGTTGTTAAGTTGGTCACGGTTAAACCGTGGTAAACTGAAAAATTTAATCACAGACTTTTAATTTCTGATTTTAGATTGTTGATGGTGATAAAAGCCTCATCCCAGATAGATTTAACTTAGAAGTTTTCAAATTTCGCCAAGAGATTATTAGGGAAGACGTTATTAGGTTTGTGAATTAATTTTATCTTTGGATTCAACTTAGAAGTTTTCAAATTTCGCCAAGAGATTATTAGGGAAGACGTTATCAGGTTTGTGAATGAATTTTATCTTTATGCTAAAATTACAAAAGTTGTTACTGCATCCTTTTTGATTTCATTTCACCGCCTTAGAGGAAGAGTATATATCACTTGAAGCTCACATTCACCGCCTTATGTCTTTATCTAATAGGAAACTTAAATCTCAATGCTTTTTCTGGTTAGCAATTTATTGGTCATATGAATAAGTAGGAATATAATTTCATTTCAAGATAGTGTGTTGAATATTCAGAATATATTTGAGTATTCAAAATATCTATCGTGGGAATGGTGGATAGCTAGGGCCAATGGTCGAGTAGATTTCGATTGACATCTATTGCAATTAAATTTGAGTAAATGTATGTCAAAACTATACTATAGCCTCTCTCTCTATCCATTATCTTGTAAGAGTTCAACATCCCTAATACTCTCTTTTATTCAATTTGCTTATAAAATAATTTCTTTTTTTTTTTAACTTTAGGACTTGCAGCATGTTTTTTAAATATTTAAAATTTATACATTGAATTATAAAATTGAAATACTTTTAAATGCGAAAGTTCAAGTGTGTAAATTTTTAAATTTACTCGTTTAAATTTTAGAATACTCACACTTGAATTGGGTCATGGTCATGAGCATAAACAAAAATTTCATCTATTAATAGTTTGGATGTGAAATGTGAAATTCCACTCATGTTTTACAACAAATGAGATAATAAGCAATAACTTTTTCACCAAAATTATAAAATTATCAATCTACTTTTCAAGGATATAATTTGCTAATATAGTTCTCAAAAAAACAGTGATGTTTATATTATAAAAAATATTTTAAAATATTTTAAAGACCTTATTTTCATTATAATTTCTTTGTTTTATGAATAATATATATTAACTGCTACAATTTTAATTATTTTTTTAGGGTTAAATATGTTTGTTGTTCTTCTAAATAATTTAAATTTTGATTTTAGTTTTTTAAAATATTTTTTTTTAAAGAATAACTCTTTTAAAATTTTTCATCTATATTTTTTATCCTTCCTGCAACTTAGTGACGAATTTCACAATTTAGCGATTGAATTAGCGATGGTTCTAGCGATGATTTATTATTTAACGACTGAACTACCGATAGTTTAACGACATTTTTAATATTATAGATCAAAATTATAAATAAAAAAATTTATAAAGAAAGAAAATATTTAAAGAAACTAAAAACAAAATTTAAGATATTTTCTCAAAGTAAACTTGTCAATAAATCTCTTGTAAAAATTAAATGAAAAACACATCCGGATCCTGATGCATGTGTATAAGTAAATTTGACAAGGGCTATAAACATTGATCTTTTATTGAATGAAATCATTATGAACATACTATTTTTTTAGTTTATTTTGAGAGAAATAAACCCCACAAAAATGTTACCAAAAGAAAAGTTTAAAAGAAAGTGTAACAGAGTGTTCATAAGACACTTTGTTAACAATTCATGACTGATCAGAACAGTACCAGTGGTCTGTGTAACAGAGTGTTCATAAGACACTTTATTAACAATTCATGACTGATCAGAACAGCACCAGTGGTCTAGTGGTAGAATAGTACCCTGCCACGGTACAGACCCGGGTTCGATTCCCGGCTGGTGCAATACTGAAGTTTTAGCTTTTGATTTTTCACTCGAATAAATTTGAATGCATTAATGAGCTTATGGTAAAAACTAGAAAGAGATATAAATGACATAGAACTAGTAGGGATAAAGGTTAGGTGGCGAACACTTAGAGATTGGTTGAGTTCGTGTGACACAAAATCACCAACTTTTTTGGACCTTTTTGCCCTTTATATGCATGTACAATTTGCATGTTCTATCGACCTTATCTTGTTCAGGATATGCATGCATGTTATAACTCTATGAGTCCTATGTGTGTTTTTTTTGTTATTGAAAGCACAGAAAAGCAACCAAGGCCAACTAAAATTCTGTACAAAGTTAACTATTTAGCCACATGCATTGGTGGGGACCAACATGGTGATAATGATATGATATAGACTAAGGTTGTGTGCAATTGGATGCAACTAGGATCCACTATTGAAATTGAAACCTACTTAAGATAATTAACCGATATGTTTTTCTTTTCCAATATTAATTATGATTGTCTAGTAGTGTTGAGACTCCACATAACATGAGAATGAAAACAAAAGATGGCTATGCTTGATGTAATTCATTTTGGATAGGTGTAGAAAATCAGTTTTGACAATTGATTTATGAGGTAGCTTAATTAACTACTTGATTTATGAGTATGTGTATGTGTCTGTATCCGATAAAATATTGATACTTTAATTATTAACTGTGATGATATGTTAGTGTTCGGGTCGTGTTTCATATCCGTGTTTCATAGGTTAAAGATAGTCGGAGGACATTGTTCTATAAACCACTAGTTGTAACTAATACATTTGAATACAATTCATTGATTCTGTTACATTATTGAGTGTTAGATCCTTTATAATCATTTCCATCTCAATTATATTGTGAGAACAATAAAGATCTTGTAACAAGAGTAAGTTTGATTGTTGTACAAGCTAAGGAAGGATGTATATGATTGTTGCTTGAAAAGTTGTGTAAATATATATAGCTTAATAAGTAAAACGTGATAAAATAAAATCATTTTATGAGGATTATTTTAAGTAAATTTCATTAAATAATCAAAATGAAGATTTATTTCCTGAGAAAAAAGTGACCAAATAAAACATAATTAAGGGTTTATGTAACAACAAAATTAATAAAAATTACAATTTAGGTTTGATAAAATTGTTGAAATATGATTCAATCAACGACGAATCAAATATTAGTGATGTAGTGCGATAACATATAATATGTGACTAAAGTTAAATTTTATGGTATTTGTCAATAATGTGGAAATATGTAATGATTTGTTAAAATTGTCTTTTCATTAAAACCATTATATTTCAAATAAAATTTGTTTTGTTTATTACTATGACCCTAATTAATCACTTATGTTTATGTCTAAGTTGATTAAATAAGTTTGATCTGTATACTAACTAGTTAACCATATTAATTCTTAGGATTCTTTTATTAAGCACTAATGAAACTTAATAAATTGGCTACGAAGCTCTCATGGAAGCGAGTTGAAGGCAGAAGAAAAAAAAGGAGGTCAGTGCAGTGGGACAGTGTATCTTCAGGAAAAGCCTATGATATTTTCAAACCTTCTTACTTCAATGTTCTCAGACCATTAAAATCACACTTAGAGTTCAAAGTCTCACCCTTATTGATCATTTCGTGAGGAATCAAATTTTGTGACTTTTTCTGGTGAAGATGCGTTATGTTATGAATCAGTGGATGGTTCAGATGTTATTAATGAGAATAAAAGATTTTGGGCAGTAAAGCTCGTTGATGCATCTTTAAAAATTTGGGAGAAAGTTAAAGATTTCGGGGTCCAAGATATCAAGGATAATGCAATTCAAATTGAGATGATCAGATACTTGGAGGCTAGGGATCATGATAGTTTCACTCATAAGGAAGTTAATGCAAATGGTTATTTAAGAATATTTTATCTCTGAATATTATTGGGTGGAGCTCTTCAGTAAAAAGGAAAAAACTGAGAATTCATTTTCAGGGGTGAGTTTGACATTTGCTTATTCTAGGAAACCAAACCTCAAAGTTTATATGTTTTTGGAATATTTTCTTTTTATAGATTGAAAGAGGTAGAATGGACTTCGAAGAAGGAAATTGGTAAATCAGGTAGTCTTCTGTTAATT